CTGCAACAAATTATTGTAGATAGTCCAGTTCATCCTTCCCTACTGCAGGATAACCTATTCCACTCACATCCAACTTTTGCATTTCCACCTTGTAATAATCAGTTGGCAATCCACTACCATTGTTTTCAAAGATTCTTTTCTACATTGTTTTTTAAACAAACAAACAAACAAACAAACAAACAAACAAACAAACAAACACAATTTTGGTACTGTGGGAAACATTTGGTATCCCAAAATCTGCTAATGCCACTCTTTTGTGAATGGATTATGCTGTTTTGGCTACATGAGAATCCACACAAACACACCCCTTGTGCTTTGGAAATAGAGGGGACAACACCATATGGCTATCGTGGCCAAGGAGAAAAAGAGGTGGTGAAATTTCTGAACTAGGGCAAAGATTTATTCTGAATGACTCATTCATAAAAAGTGTGACGTGGGTGTCCCTGAGGTGAACCTGCAGCTCAGTGAAGAGCATCAAAGCTCTTCAGGTTTTTGTGCAGCTCGCCTTGCATTTCCCACCACTGTGTCACTTGCAGCACAATGGTAGATCCCGGCATCCCCCATCTCCACCTTGCTGATGGACAGCTCTGTAGACAGGTTGCCTTTGTCAGTGTCCATCTCCAACCGTTCTTTCTTCTCAGTTTTAGAGTAACTGTAGATGACTATGGAAGGGGCTGCATCTCTGGTTTGCTTGTACCAGAAGACCCCATCATAATTAGAGACTCCATGTTTACAGAAGATCCGAGCTGTTTCTCCAGAAGAAAAGGAGACTTCAGAAAGTTGAGAAGCATCACCACTGACATATTTGCCTGGAAAAGGAAAAACCATCATTGTTCCATAACTCCATGGCTCTTCCACATGCCTCTCAATACCAGATGGCGAGCTTTCCAAGTGGGAAGAGTGCTGTTGCGCTGACATCCTGCTTGCAGACATCCCAGAGACATCTGCTTGGTCCTTCTAAGAACAGGATCCTTGACTAGACAGAATATTGGTTTGACTCCACAAGGTTTGTATGTTCCCATTTCCTTGGAATCTTCCATAGATATACACAATGGCCATGATTTTCTTACTGAGTAAGTTAATAGTAATTAGTCAATAACTGTGTCTAATATCAGTTGCACACCAAGAGTATAAAATTCTAAAAATCAGTAGCAATACATTTCATATCACTCAGTGACAACTGCTAATAAAAGTTCAATTATGTGTACCATTCCAGATCTATGCCAGTTCTATTACTGGTGCACTGGTAATAATAATTGTCATCTGGCTTCTCCTCCTCATAGTAGTAGGAATGGTATTAGCTTATATTAGACATTGGACAAATGGAATCCACTGAATGGAGGGTAGACAGAGAGATCCCAGAGGGAACAGCAAAGTAAGCATATTTCTGTGGAGTAGACATTATTAGCTACTTTTCGCCTCTTGTTAAGGGTTAATATTTTCTGTAAGTTTTGGAAGCTGCCTTATACTGAATTGGTCCCTTGTTCCATCTAGCTCAATATTGTCTACACTGAAGGGCAGCAGCCCTCCAGAATTTTCAGAGAGGGGTTTTCTTTAAGCCCTACCTGGAGAACCCAGAGAATGAACCTGGTGTCCTTTGCATACAAAGCTCTACCCTTTCCCAAATTTCTAAGGATTCCCCAACTTACACAGCAGAAATAGCCCAAGGAGAATCCATTGAGCTGGGTGGACTCTTGAGGTCATTCTGAAGAACGCAGATGCTCTCACCAACGCAGATCCCTCCTAGTAGGGTGTGGAAATTCAGAAGAAACTAAGGTCGCCGTCTTCCCCAGTTCAATGAATTATCAATATGCGCTTTCTCTTTTCCTATTTCTTTCAGCTCTCTCCTGCTAGTCAGAAGTAGAATTGCGAAAATCTTAAGTTAACACAGCTAATGAAGTGTTTTGTGAGGCAAGAATGACTCCTCATTGCTATCTAGTGGAAGAAAACAAAGATAGCAGGGTTGCTTACAAATTGTGTTTGTGGCTTCCGGCTTGTGGTTTTCTTTTGAGCAGATGGATTTTTAGTTACACTGGGGTCACATCTACAGGTGCTGTCAGCTCCCCTTAACAGATCTGACCTTATGCCAAGGGTCTCCCAACACTTTTGGGGGTACATTTTGGAATCCAAGAAACTGTGGTGGACACCACAAAGCACTCATCTCACAGAAGGAAAAATGGATGCTCAGAACACACATGCACCCCCATCACAAACCAGGTGAAACATTTACATGAACAAAACACCCTAAACCAACAAAACAAAACAAAACAAAACAAAAAACCCAGGCAACCTTCCCCGAAACATTCCCTATCTTTATTTTTTTTTAGAAATAAAAAATTCAGAGGATCAGGGGCCCTTGATATCCACCAAGGGAGATCGCCTAATGGCGCCACCTTGGGGATCCCTGAAAGTGATGCTTTTGAATGCAAGTGATGCAATGAGTTTCTAGGAAAACCAGAGAGAGTAGGCACAATCTGTTGTGTGTATTCTACATCAAAGGTGTTGATGTGTCACAATCTACTCTTGAGGTGTTCTTCTTTAACAGACTTGCACCAGAGTTTCTTTTTTAATTTAGTATCTTTATTATCTAACAAAAATTACACTGATCGAATACGAATAAAATAACATAACAGAATCCTTTCCTCTTCCAGGCTTCCAGACCTAATGCTGACTCATGCTCATTTACACACTGACAATTTTACACTGACCCTTATTGACCACATGACCTTAATAAAGGCACCTGTTTGCTCCGTAGGTTTTTCTGTTGCTTAGCAACCTGTTCCAGACCATATTCCAAACACAGGTTGTGCAGGAGAAGCAAAGTTATGATAAAAGAGGTTGCCAGTTAAAGCACAACACAAACTAGAAATTCTTAAATTATTTTTATTATTTATTAAATTTGTTTACCACTCCCTACCTGCAGGTCTAACATTGTCCCTAAGGCTTATTCTTCTAAGAAAACCTCTGAGTTTTCTTTTTTCTCATCCTGCTAAGGAAAAAGTCCTTCTAGATTCTACATCCTTAACTACAACTGTTTCAGAATTATGATGTACATTTTTGTTTTCAGATTGTGGGTCTGCTTACTGCCTAAGGCTCCTTCGGGAACAAGAGTGTGATATAAATCCTACTAGTAGCAGTAGTAATAGTATTACTTAACTACTCTCTACATATTTTGGAAAGTTGTTTCCCATAAGTTCTCTATCTGTCCAGACAAGTCTTAAGATATCATAACCAAAATAGGCCCAATGGTTTGTGAGATCAAGGAGAAGTTTTTCATCTCTACTTGAATACTATTGGGCATCATTTTGAAGTTATGATGGAGGACTTGCTCTGATACTTGCTAAGAATTGCTCTGATTTGAAAATGTCACAACCCAGTTTTGCATAGCGGTGCTTAAGAATGAGGAAGGGCTATCCGTCTATGTTTGCCTGCAAGAGGACAACATTTTGAACCAAGATGGCAGACTACACTCATTTGTCACTCTCCTGAGATATCACAACGCTCATGTCCTTGGGGGAAGAATCTTCTTCAGAGGAGGACCCCCCCACACACACACGAAGTACATGTTGGAGGGGAGCAGGCTGTGTCAATGGAGACTGAGGCAGAGCAGGGGGATCCTGGGCCTTTTGGGTCATGGTACTCTAATCTCCCCCATGAGACACAGACTCAGAGGCAGATTGGGCGGGGACTGGGCCATGATTGAAGCAGCTCCACAGAAAATCCTCATGTAGGATCTCTAGTGGGGAGGAGAGCCTTGAATCATGCTGCTTCGCATCGTTTGCCTATTTGGCTGGCCAGCCCTCTTCAAGAACCCACCCACTTCTCTTTCCAAAAATCTGCATGAGCTCAAACCTTCAGTTCTTTGGCTTGCAACACAGCTCTGGTGAGGAGCTTGTGTTGCAGTCACACTGAGCCACTGCCCCTTGTCTCAATATAGTTCCTGTTCCAAGTCACAACCTTGTATTTGGAAAATAATAATCAAATTTTCAGTTTGGAGGAACAACTTTGAGGTGGGATAATTGTTCGGCTCATTATTATTGAAGCCAATGTTATGTACACAAGTCCATGACTTGGCCACAAGACAGGAAAGAACCAGGTACAAGGAGGTTTCTGATTCATACTGTAAAAAATGGGTTGAGTAAGTTGTACTTAATGGACTGTGGTTGGAAGAGAGATGGTGACATGCCAGGTTGGCAGAAGGTGGTAGAGTGGAGGAAGAACAGTTAAGATAATGCATATTTGCCTATATATTGTGCTCTCGCAGACACTTTGAACTCTGTCCAGCAATCCAATACTGAATTTGGTGTGAGCCTCCATATTAGAATCCTCAAGGGGAATTTCTCAATCTCTTATTATATGCTGCTTCCCACTAGCTAAAACTTCTGTGTACCCTCAATGGAGAATTTCTCCCACATTTTCATAAGACTGGATCCTAAATTATGCTTGTCAGTTTGAATACACTGTGAAGTATTAACATATCATAGACAGTTACTTGCATTATGCTTTTCTTTAAAAAACACTAAACCAGAAGATGAGTAGGGAGGTGGAGGACGGAGATCTGCAACAAATTATTGTACATACTCCAGTTCATCCTTGCCCTACTTCAGGATACCCTATTCCACTCACATCCAACTTTTCTATTTCCACTTCGTAATAATCAGTTGGCAATCCACAATCATTGTTTTCAAAGATGCTTTTCTACATTGCTTTTTAAACAAACAAACAAACACAATTTTGATACTGTGGAAAACACTGGGTACCCCAAAATCTGCTAATACCACTCTTTTGTGAATGAATAGTGCTGTTTTGGCAACATGAGAATCCACAGAAACACACCCCTTGTGCTTTGGAAATAGAGGGGACAACACCATATTGCTATCATGGTCATAATGGGCAAGGAGAAAAAGAGGTGGTGAATTTGTGAACTAGGGCAATGATTTATTCTGAATGACTCATTCATAAAAAGTGTGACGTGGGTGTCCCTGAGGTGAACCTTCAGCTCAGTGAAGAGGATCAAAGCTCTTCAGGTTTTTGTGCAGCTCGCCTTGCATTTCCCACCACTGTGTCACTTGCAGCACAATGGTAGATCCCGGCGTCCCCATCTCCACCTTGCTGATGGACAGCTCTGTAGACAGATTCCCTTTGTCAGTGTCCATCTCCAGCCGTTCTTTCTTCTCAGTTTTAGAGTAACTGTAGATGACTAAGGAAGGGGCTGCATCTCTGGTTTGCTTGTACCAGAAGACCCCATTATAATTAGAGACTCCATGTTTACAGAAGATCTGAGCTGTTTCTCCAGAAGAAAAGGAGACTTCAGAAAGCTGAGAAGCATCACCACTGATATCTCTGCCTGGAAAAAGAAACATCATCATTGTTTCATAACTTCATGGCTGTTCAACATGCCTCTCAATACCAGATGGCGAGCTTTCCAAGTGGGAAGAGTGCTGTTGTGCTGACATCCTGCTTGCAGACATCCCAGAGACATCTGCTTGGTCCTTCTAAGAACAGGATCCTTGACTAGACAGAATATTGGTTTGACTCCACAAGGTTTGTATGTTCACATTTCCTTGGAATCTTCCATAGATATACACAATGGCCATGATTTTCTTACTGAGTAAGTTAATAGTAATTAGTCAAGAACTGTCTAATATCAGTTGCACACCAAGAGTGTTAAAATTCTAAAAATCAGTAGCAATACATTTGATATCACTCAGTGACAACTGCTAATAAAAGTTCAATTGTGTGTACCATTCCAGATCAATGCCAGTTCTATTACTGGTGGTACTGGTAATAATAATTGTCATCTGGCTTCTCCTTCTCATAGTAGTAGGAATGGTATTAGCTTGTATTAGACATCGGACAAATGGAATCCACTGAATGGAGGGTAGAGAGAGAGATCCCAGAGGGAACAGCAAAGTAAGCATATTTCTGTGGAGTAGACATTATTAGCTACTTTTCGCCTCTTGTTAAGGGTTAATATTTTCTGTAAGTTTTGGGAGCTGCCTTATACTGAGTTGTTCCCTTGTTCCATCTAGCTCAATATTGTCTATACTGAATGGCAGCAGCCCTCCAGAATTTTCAGAGAGGGGTTTTCTTTAAGCCTTACCTGGAGAACCCAGAGAATGAACCTGGTGTCCTTTGCATACAAAGCTCTACCCTTTCCCAAATTTCTAAGGATTCCCCAACTTACACAGCAGAAATAGCCCAAGGAGAATCCATTGAGCTGGGTGGACTCTTGAGGTCATTCTGAAGAACGCAGATGCTCTCACAAATGCAGATCCCTCCTAGTAAGGTGTGGAAATTCAGAAGAAACTAAGGTCGCCGTCTTCCCCAGTTCAATGAATTATCAATATGCGCTTTCTCTTTTCCTATTTTTTTAGCTCTCTCCTGCTAGTCAGAAGTAGAATTGTGAAAATCTTAAGTTATCACAGCTAATGAAGGGTTTTGTGAGGCAAGAATGACTCCTCATTGCTATCTAGTGGAAGAAAACAAAGATAGCAGGGTTGCTTACAAATTGTGTTTGTGGCTTCCGGCTTGTGGTTTTCTTTTGAGCAGATGGATTTTTAGTTACACTGGGGTCACATCTACAGGTGCTGTCAGCTCCCCTTAACAGATCTGACCGTATGCCAAGGGTCTCCCAACACTTTTGGGGGTACATTTTGGAATCCAAGAAACTGTGGTGGACACCACAAATCACTCATCTCACAGAAGGAAAAATGGATGCTCAGAACACACATGCACTCCATCACAAACCAGGTGAAACATTTACATGAACAAAACACCCTAAACAAAACAAAAAAGAAAAAACCCAGGCAACCTTCCCCGAAACATCCCCTATCTATATTTTTTTTTAGAAATAAAAAATTCAGAGGATCAGGGGCCCTTGATATCCACCAAGGGAGATTGCCTCATGGCGCCACCTTGGGGATCCCTGAAAGTGATGCTTTTGAATGCAAGTGATGCAATGAGTTTCTAAAAAAACCAGAGAGAGTAGGCACAATCTGTTGGGTGTATTCTACATCAAAGGTGTTGATGTGTTCACCATCTACTCTTGAGGTGTTCTTCTTTAACAGACTTGCAGCAGAGATTCTTTTTTAGTTTAGTATCTTTATTATTTACAAAAATTTACACTGGTCGAATACAAATAAAGTAACAGAATCCTTTCCTCTTCCAGCCTTTCAGACCTAATGCTGACTCATGCTCATTTACACACTGACAATTTTACACTGACCCTTATTGACCACATGACCTTAATAAAGGCCCTGTTTCAGAATTATGATGTACATTTTTGTTTTCAGATTGTGGGTCTGCTTACTGCCCAAGGCTCCTTCGGGAGCAAGAGTGGGATATAAATATTATTCGTAGCAGTAGTAGTATTACTTAACTACTGTCTACATGTTTTGGAACATTATTTGTCCATCTGTTCTCTATCTGTCCAGAAACGTCTTAAGATATCATAACCAAAATAGGCCCAATGCTTCCTGAGATCAAGGAGAAGTTTTTCATCTCTACTTGAATACTATTGGACATTATTTTGAAGTTATGATGGAGGACTAAACATAATAATTGCTCTACTTTGAAAATGGCACAACCCAGTTTTGCATAGTGGTGCTTAAGAATGAGGAAGGGCTATATGTTTGCCTGCAAGAGGACAACATTTTGAACCAAGATGGCAGACTACACTCATTTGTCCCTCTCCTGAGATATCACAACTCTCATGTCCTTGGGGGAAGAATCTTCTTCAGAGGAGGACCCCCCCAACACACACACAAAAAGTACATGTTGCAGGGGAGCAGGTTGTGTCAATGGACACTGAGGCAGAGCAGGGGGATCCAGGGCCTCTTGGGTCATGGTACTCCAGTCTCCCCCATGAGATACAGACTCAGAGGCAGATTGGGCAAGAAGTGGTCCATGATGGAAGCAGCTCAACAGATAATCCTCACATAGTATCTCTAATGGGGAGGAGAGCTTTGAATCATGCTGCTTCGCATCGTTTGCCTATTTGGCTGGATAGCCCTCTTCAAAAACCCACCCACTTCTCTTCACAAAAATCTGCATTAGCTCAAACCTTCAGTTCTTTGGCTTGCAACATAACTTTGGTGAGGAAATTCCCAGCTGATTGGAGGCAAAGAGGACACTCCTCTGCCACGCTTGCCTTAAATGCGGCAAGCCACACCCCCAGAGCCAGCCGATTGGCTGGCCAGGGGGGTGACACGACGGAGGATTCCCTGATCGCACAGGGCTGGGAGCGCAAGTGTTGGGGGCCTGAAGCCCACAACACCACCTCCTCCCAAGGTCAGGAGTGGCTTTGTCAGTTTGCTTGTTTTTTTAAAATGATATTTATTAAGGTTTCAATAAAAGATTGAACAGAAAAACATAAACGAAAAATACACAATTCAAAAAAGCACAATACATAATCCAAAAAAGAAAGAAAAAAAAGCAAAGGAAAAAAACAAAATGCAAGAAAAAAAAGAACAATTAAAAACAATATCACCTTTTTGTTTCCATCTTTAAATTTACTTATTTTCTGGACCTCCTCATACCTCCCTCTTTTGTATTCCAGTTCAAATTGTTTGTCCAGCAATTTCTTTCCCTCTTTTTAATCCCAATCTTTAATCTTAATATAATATAACATTAAAATTTTACCTCTTAAAAGCCAAATTTCCATTTCCTTAAACTTCTTTAATCCTAATCCTTAATCTTAATCTATCTATAACTTTAAATCCTGTACAGCTGGAAACCACTTATTTTCAATCCAACATCACTCTAACATTCTTTAATTTTACAGTGTTTCTGTAGATAATCTTTGAATTTCTTCCAATCTTCCTCCACCGACTCTTCTCCCTGGTCACGGATTCTACCAGTCATTTCCGCCAGTTTCATATAGTCCATCAGTTTCATCTGCCATTCCTCCAGTGTGGGAAGTTCTTGTGTATTTTTTGCCCCTATTCCATCTCCCAGTTCCAAAAATCCATTTAATATATAGTCCTCAAATAGAGGACATATCAGTTTGAATACATTGTGGAGTATGAACATATCATAGACAGTTACTTGAATTATGCTTTTCTTTAGAAAACACTACACCAGAAGATGAATAGGGAGGTGGAGGAGAGAGACTTTCAACAAATTATTGTAGATAGTCCAGTTCATCCTTCCCTACTGCAGGATACCCTATTCCACTCACATCCAACTTTTGCATTTCCACCTTGTAATAATCAGTTGGCAATCCACTACCATTGTTTTCAAAGATTCTTTTCTACATTGTTTTTTAAACAAACAAACAAACAAACAAACAAACACAATTTTGGTACTGTGGAAAACATTTGGTATCCCAAAATCTGCTAATGCCACTCTTTTGTGAATGGATTATGCTGTTTTGGCTACATGAGAATCCACCCCCCGCCCCCTTGTACTTTGGAAATAGAGGGGACAACACCATATGGCTATCATGGCCAAGGAGAAAAAGAGGTGGTGAAATTTCTGAACTAGGGCAAAGATTTATTCTGAATGACTCATTCATAAAAAGTGTGACGTGGGTGTCCCTGAGGTGAACCTGCAGCTCAGTGAAGAGGATCAAAGCTCTTCAGGTTTTTGTGCAGCTTGCCTTGCATTTCCCACCACTGTGTCACTTGCAGCACAATGGTAGATCCCGGCGTCCCCCATCTCCACCTTGCTGATGAAAAGCTCTGTAGACAGATTCCCTTTGTCAGTGTCCATCTCCAACCGTTCTTTCTTCTCGGTTTTAGAGTCACCGTAGATGACTAAGGAAGGGGCTGCATCTTGGGTTTGCTTGTACCAGAAGACCCCAATAATAATTAGAGACACCATGTTTACAGAAGATCCGAGCTGTTTCTCCAGAAGAAAAGGAGACTTCAGAAAGTTGAGAATCATCACCACTGATATCACTGCCTGGAAAAGGAAAAACCATCATTGTTCCATAACTTCATGGCTGTTCAACATGCCTCTCAATACCAGATGGTGAGCTTTCCAAGTGGGAAGAGTGCTGTTGTGCTGACATCCTGCTTGCAGACATCCCAGAGACATCTGCTTGGTCCTTCTAAGAACAGGATCCTTGACTAGACAGAATATTGGTTTGACTCCACAAGGTTTGTATGTTCACATTTCCTTGGAATCTTCCATAGATATACACAATGGCCATGATTTTCTTACTGAGTAAGTTAATAGTAATTAGTCAATAACTGTGTCTAATATCAGTTGCACACCAAGAGTATAAAATTCTAAAAATCAGTAGCAATACATTTGATATCACTCAATGACAACTGCTAATAAAAGTTCAGTTATGTGAACAGTACAATTCCAGATTTATGTCAGCTTCTATTACTGGTGGCACTGGTAATAATAATTGTCATCTGGCTTCTCCTCCTCATAGTAGTAGGAATGGTATTAGCTTGTATTGGACATTGGACAAATGGAATCCACTGAATGGAGGGTAGACAGAGAGATCCCAGAGGGAACAGCAAAGTAAGCATATTTCTGTGGAGTAGACATTATTAGCTACTTTTTGCCTCTTGTTAAGGGTTAATATTTTCTGTAAGTTTTGGAAGCTGCCTTATACTGAGTTGTTCCCTTGTTCCATCTAGCTCAATATTGTCTACACTGAAGGGCAGCAGCCCTCCAGAATTTTCAGAGAGGGGTTTTCTTTAAGCCCTACCTGGAGAACCCAGAGAATGAACCTGGTGTCCTTTGCATACAAAGCTCTACCCTTTCCCAAATTTCTAAGGATTCCCCAACTTACACAGCAGAAATAGCCCAAGGAGAATCCACTGAGCTGGGTGGATTCCTGAGGTCATTCTGAAGAAGGCAGATGCTCTCACCAACGCAGATCCCTCCTAGTAAGGTGTGGAAATTCAGAAGAAACTAAGGTCGCCGTCTTCCCCAGTTCAATGAATTATCAATATGCGCTTTCTCCTTTCCTATTTTTTTAGCTCTCTCCTGCTAGTCAGAAGTGGAATTGTGAAAATCTTAAGTTAACACAGCTAAGGAAGGGTTTTGTGAAGCAAGAATGACTCCTCATTGCTATCTAGTGGAAGAAAACAAAGATAGCAGGGTTGCTTACAAATTGTGTTTGTGGCTTCCGGCTTGTGGTTTTCTTTTGAGCAGATGGATTTTTAGTTACACTGGGGTCACATCTACAGGTGCTGTCAGCTCCCCTTAACAGATCTGACCTTATGCCAAGGGTCTCCCAACACTTTTGGGGGTACATTTTGGAATCCAAGAAACTGTGGTGGACACCACAAAGCACTGATCTCACAGAAGGAAAAATGGATGCTCAGAACAGACATGCACTCCATCACAAACCAGGTGAAACATTTACATGAACAAAACACCCTAAACCAAAAGAAGAAAAAAACACCCCCAGGCAACCTTCCCAGAAACACCCCCTATCTATATACTTTTTTAGAAATAAAAAATTCAGAGGATCAGGGGCCCTTGATATCCACCAAGGGAGATTGCATAATGGCGCCACCTTGGGGATCCCTAAAAGTGATGCTTTTGAATGCAAGTGATGCAATGAGTTTCTAGGAAAACCAGAGAGAGTAGGCACAATCTGTTGGGTGTATTCTACATCAAAGGTGTTGATGTGTTCACAATCTACTCTTGAGGTGTTCTTCTTTAACAGACTTGCAGCAGAGATTCTTTTTTAGTTTAGTATCTTTATTATTTACAAAAATTTACACTGGTCGAATACTGTACAAATAAAGTAACAGAATCCTTTCCTCTTCCAGCCTTCCAGACCTAATGCTGACTCATGCTCATTTACACACTGACAATTTTACACTGACCCTTATTGACCACATGACCTTAATAAAGGCACCTGTTTGCTCCATAGGTTTTTCTGTTGCTTAGCAACCTGTTCAAGACCATATTCCAACCAAAGGTTGGGCAGGAGCAGCAAAGTTATGATAAAAGAGGTTGCCAGTTAAAGCACAACACAAACTAGAAATTCTTAAATTATTTTTATTATTTATTAAATTTGTTTACCACTCCCTACCTGCAGGTCTAACATTGTCCCTAAGGCTTATTCTTCTAAGAAAACCTCTGAGGTTTTTTTTCTCATCCTGCTAAGGAAAAAGTCCTTCTAGATTCTACATCCTTAACTACAACTGTTTCAGAATTATGATGTACATTTTTGTTTTCAGATTGTGGGTCTGCTTACTGCCTAAGGCTCCTTCGGGAACAAGAGTGTGATATAAATCCTACTAGTAGCAGTACTAATAGTATTACTTAACTACTGTCTACATATTTTGGACAGTTGTTTCCCCATAAGTTCTCTATCTGTCCAGACAAGTCTTAAGATATCATAACCAAAATAGGCCCAATGGTTCATGAGATCAAGGAGAAGTTTTTCATCTCTACTTGAATACTATTGGGCATCATTTTGAAGTTATGATGGAGGACTTGCTCTGATACTTGCTAAGAATTGCTCTGATTTGAAAATGTCACAACCCAGTTTTGCATAGCGGTGCTTAAGAATGAGGAAGGGCTATCCGTCTATGTTTGCCTGCAAGAGGACAACATTTTGAACCAAGATGGCAGACTACACTCATTTGTCACTCTCCTGAGATATCACAACGCTCATGTCCTTGGGGGAAGAATCTTCTTCAGAGGAGGACCCCCCCCCCACACACGAAGTACATGTTGGAGGGGAGCAGGCTGTGTCAATGGAGACTGAGGCAGAGCAGGGGGATCCTGGGCTTTTTGGGTCATGGTACTCCAATCTCCCCCATGAGACACAGACTCAGAGGCAGATTGGGCGGGGACTGGGCCATGATTGAAGCAGCTCCACAGATAATCCTCATGTAGGATCTCTAGTGGGGAGGAGAGCCTTGAATCATGCTGCTTCGCATCGTTTGCCTATTTGGCTGGCCAGCCCTCTTCAAGAACCCACCCACTTCTCTTTCCAAAAATCTGCATGAGCTCAAACCTTCAGTTCTTTGGCTTGCAACACAGCTCTGGGGAGGAGCTTGTGTTGCAGTCACACTGAGCCACTGCCCCTTGTCTCAATATAGTTCCTGTTCCAAGTCACAACCTTGTATTTGGAAAATAATAATCAAATTTTCAGTTTGGAGGAACAACTTTGAGGTGGGCTCATTGTTCGGCTCATTATTATTGAAGCCAATGTTATGTACACAAGTCCATGAATTGACCACAAGACAGGAAAGAACCAGGTACAAGGAGCTTTCTGATTCATACTGTAAAAAATGGGTTGAGTAAGTTGTACTTAATGGACTGTGGTTGGAAGAGAGATGGTGACATGCCAGGTTGGCAGAAGGTGGTAGAGTGGAGGAAGAACAGTTAAGATAATGCATATTTGCCTATATATTGTGCTCTCGCAGACTCTTTGAACTCTGTCCAGCAATCCAATACTGAATTTGGTGTGAGCCTCCATATTAGAATCCTCCAGGGGAATTTCTCAATCTCTTATTATATGCTGCTTCCCACTAGCTAAAACTTCTGTGTACCCTCAATGGAGAATTTCTCCCACATTTTAATAAGACTGGATCCTAAATTATGCTTGTCAGTTTGAATACACTGTGAAGTATTAACATATCATAGACAGTTACTTGCATTATGCTTTTCTTTAAAAAACACTAAACCAGAAGATGAGTAGGGAATTTTTGAACTAGGGCAATGATTTATTCTGAATGACTCATTCATAAAAAGAGTGACGTGGGTGTCCCTGAGGTGAACCTGCAGCTCAGTGAAGAGGATCAAAGCTCTTCAGGTTTTTGTGCAGCTCGCCTTGCATTTCCCACCACTGTGTCACTTGCAGCACAATGGTAGATCCCAGCGTCCCCCATCTCCACCTTGCTGATGGACAGCTCTGTAGACAGATTCCCTTTGTCAGTGTCCATCTCCAACCGTTCTTTCTTCTCAGTTTTAGAGTAACTGTAGATGACTAAGGAAGGGGCTGCATCTCTGGTTTGCTTGTACCAGAAGACCACATTATAATTAGAGACTCCATGTTTACAGAAGATCCGAGCTGTTTCTCCAGAAGAAAAGGAGACTTCAGAAAGTTGAGAAGCATCACCACTGATATCTCTGCCTGGAAAAGGAAAAACCATCATTGTTCCATAACTCCATGGCTGTTCAACATGCCTCTCAATACGAGATGGTGAGCTTTCCAAGTGGGAAGAGTGCTGTTGTGCTGACATCCTGCTTGCAGACATCCCAGAGACATCTGCTTGGTCCTTCTAAGAACAGGATCCTTGACTAGACGGAATATTGGTTTGACTCCACAAGGTTTGTATGTTCACATTTCCTTGGAATCTTCCATAGATATACACAATGGCCATGATTTTCTTACTGAGTAAGTTAATAGTAATTAGTCAATAACTGTGTGTAATATCAGTTGCACACCAAGAGTATAAAACTCTAAAAATCAGTAGCAATACATTTGATATCACTCAGTGACAACTGCTAATAAAAGTTCAGTTGTGTGTACCATTCCAGATCTATGCCAGTTCTATTACTGGTGGTACTGGTAATAATAATTGTCATCTGGCTTCTCCTCCTCATAGTAGTAGGAATGGTATTAGCTTGTATTGGACATTGGACAAATGGAATCCACTGAATGGAGGGTAGACAGAGAGATCCCAGAGGGAACAGCAAAGTAAGCATATTTCTGTGGAGTAGACATTATTAGCTACTTTTTGCCTCTTGTTAAGGGTTAATATTTTCTGTAAGTTTTGGAAGCTGCCTTATACGGAGTTGTTCCCTTGTTCCCTCTAGCTCAATATTGTCTACACTGAATGGCAGCTGCCCTCCAGAATTTTCAGAGAGGGGTTTTCTTTAAGCCTTACCTG